ACAATGATACCTACCTCCCAGGATTGGTAAGGAGTAAGTGAGTTAATATTCCATAGTTTTTAGAATAGGGCTTGACCCACCATGGATGTATGGGAAGGGTTATGTTAAGTAAACACCAGTGTTCAAAGCACTCAAATTCAATGGCTATCAAGACAAGGTGGTTGATGCATAATTTATCCAAGGAAACACCTGCTTTTTCTATGGATAAGATGACATTTTACTGAAGGAAAAGATCATTAGTCTAAAGCAGCCTCCCTCTCAAGCAGCAAAGAGATATTTTTAAAAAACTGTATTTAAAAAAAAAACAAAAAACAGTTCCACAGGCCCCTTTGCTCAGATAGGGCATGATGAATGGGGTATATCTGCCCAAGATTCTTGCCATGGTGAGGCCCATCATCTCCTCTCTTGGATTAACAACAGATATTCAACCAATGAAACAAAAGACAGTCTCATAGGAAGGGATTAGAGATCCTAACAAATCAGTATTATACTCTGACCATGTTTTTATATGCCACTTCTCTTAAATTCATCATTGAATTTAATCGCATTGATTAGATTTTTTGTTTCATCTCCAACGATAGAATTAATTTTCATAAATCTCTGCTTTCGCTATTCTTCTCTATAAAAGTTAGCAAACAACTGTCCTTCTCTGGGCCATCTAACAAAATTACACTTAGGCATACACATTACTGACAGACTTCTACAAAACAAAATCCCCCACCCTCTTATCAGAGGTCCACACGGAAACAGCAGCCACATGGAAACTATTTATAAGTTGCACAGGGCAAGTGAACACCAGGAAGCAAAATTAGCTGCCTTTAAGATTTTGCGCAAATATTCTAAGTCCCAGAGCTATTTCTTTTCCAAAATTTTAATAATTAGCGATTTTCTTAAACTGTGACAAAAAAAAAATAGTTAAGGACAAAACTTCCTTAGGAGGATATTAGGATCGTTTTACCCTACTTTGTTAGGCAGCTTAATAAATGTCCCGCCGAGAGGATCAGGAGCCACCATCCCTCCAAGCCTCTCTGCAGATAAAAACTCCACTGATAGGCACTTCAGTCCCTGACCTGAAAGTTAACACTCTCTGTTTTTCCAGATGGCCATTCTCCTGAGTACAGGCTGACAATCATGTCAAACGGGGCTGGGACCTGACCACCAGCTTCATTTTCAATTGTGAGTAAAATCAGAATTTGAAGCCAGCTCTCTGAAGATCAGACGCAGTGACATGAACTTGGTCCCCTAATAAATCACAGCTGAAGCTAGTGTTGAGGAGAGCAAACGCTATGTGATGCTGCTGGCAAGATGAATTCCATTACAGTCTCACTTGTTCCCTTTCGCCTTGGCTTAAAACTTTCAAAGAAGCTCAATCAGAGTTTCCAGAACTCAATGTTTACCCATTGTTTAAAAGCAATTTTTGTTCTTTTGGGAAATCATCTTACAGATAACCTCAAGGGAAAATTATATATTTTGTGTTTATTCTGACACCTGTGGGTATTCAGAGAAGCAAGTTAGAGCAAAAAACATGTGAATCCAGGAATTCAGAGCCAATAAAGCACAAAAGTTACTTATCGAGTCATTTCAGAAAGAACACGAATTACATACCAAGTTATTTTTCAAGCATTTTTAACATTTTATGTTTTCTATCAAAAAATGCTGAAAATAAATAATAATGCCAGAAAATTATGATTTACCTTTTGAATTCAGCTTCAGTGGAACAGGTGGCACTTAAGAAGGCATCACCAGTAAAAATCAAAACATCACAGAAATATTGATATTTTACCTCTCTCCTCTTCTTAGCAAATTCTAAATGGGCCAAATGGTATAAATTCAGCATTTAAACCTGAAAAGTACAAAATTCTTCTGCTTCTTAATGCAAAAATGTGTAGTCACAAAGAAAAATCAATTTGTCAGCCTTGTGTGTACATGACATTTTTCATTTCACCACTTGCTGAAGAGAAACACAGACAATGTATACCACTGAATGAAGTGACATTTAGAAAACTGGACTTTTTTTCATTTACTGTCTTAGTCATATTTAAAATTATTCCAAATATTACATGAATAAAGTTTCTCTACACATTTCAAATCAAACCAGAAAAATTCCTTGCCAGGAAGCAAATTTTTGACTTATTCAAATCATCCTTTTATGCTTGTTGTCGAAAAGGTACATATATAATGGCATCAAAAGCCAAAGAAAATTCAGGCTCTCTAGACAATATTTCACAAATTTATCCAGGTTTTCACTTGCTTTGATGGACTTATTTTAACATCAAACACATGCCTTCCTAACTATAGGCTCACCTTTACTTTCCTGACTATATTACCATAACTGCTGAACTTAAGGTAGTTAATTTACAGTTTCCTATCATAAAATAAATACATTTACTTCTTGAAAAGATATAGTTAATCACTGGTGGTTATATCTTCTATATTTAGACTGTTCTTTTAGTCATGTCCTGACATTTGAAAAGTGGGTTTTGTGGAAATAGACTGCCTGCCCTACAATTTTGCAAACAGAACACTTTCTCCTAAAAAAAGGCTTCATTATATTGAGTAAACATATTGCTCAGTTTCCCTGATGTGGGATGACAACCAATAACTCAACATGTTCTGACTTCAAGTGCTTTGCACTGTAGGAAATGAGGGCCTTGCTCAATATTACATCTATTTAACATCAGTGCCAGCCCCTGATCATTATTCCATTTGTTTCTTGAAAAAAAAAAGTGCTACTGTATTGGTCATCTTAAGCACTATTTTCTAGTTGAAGAAACTGTAATTCTGATAGGCACAGAGGAGGTAAATTCACTTAGCTATCAGGAATTTTAACATAAATGGTATGCATCCAAAATCTGTATTGTAGTCTTTCTGTTTCTGGGCATAAACAACATATGGTTGTTAAGATATTATATTAGTCCATTTTCTGCCACTATAACAAAATATGTGAGGCTGAGTACTCTACAAATAAGATGTTTACTCACCTCACAGTTTTGCAGACTGAAAGTCCAAGCTCAGGTAGCCCCACCAATTCAGCCTCTGGTAAGAACCCTCTTGGCTACTTCACAATTTGGCAGATGGCTTCACAGAGGGAGAATGTGTCAAAGGAGAGATCACATGACAAGAGAGGAAGCCAGAGAGCTAGGAAGAATCAGTCATGATCTTTTTTAACAATTTGCATTCTTAAGAACTAACTGTCTCCACATTAATCTTTTTCAAGAGCTATGCCTAGAATGACCTAACCACTTTTCACTAAGTCCTAACTCTTAAAGGTTCCACTGCCTTTTAAAATTTTAATAATGCCCACATTGAGGACTAAACCTCAACACATAAACCTCTAGGGGACAAACCACATCCAAACCATAGCAGACCTGAAGTCTGGGTTCAAATTCCACCTCTGTGCCTTCCCAGATGTAGCACTTTGGTAAAAGGGTTAAGTCATGGAGTGAGACTAGGCTAGAGGTGTATGGGTCTCATAAGGCGTTTGTGAAGACTAGAAAGCCATAAATGTTTGCTGCTGATGATATATTATTTTATTATATTTCCAAGAAAACTTACAGCTATCTTGGGTTTTAATATCCAATTTCTTACTTTGGGATATATTCTTGCTCATGTATGGAAAGCTCGGTTAGAATCCAGCAGGGAGTCATAGCACGATGGAAAGTCTTGAAATTAGAAAGTTACTATACAACAGTTTAAAATACTACCATTCAGAGCAATGGATACTAAAAACAGTGACAGAGAGAGAGAGAGAGAGAGAGAGAGAGAGAGAGAAACAATAGTCTTCATAATGGTAATAGCATAGAAAACTCTCATCATTTTAATGATTCAGTGTGGTAGTAGAAAAATCCTATTCCACTGAAAATGTGTTAAATTTTTCTTCAAAGTGCTATTATTCTGAGCTGAAGCAGAAGTAACTTTAGAATTTTACTTAAATACAAGTTGCAGGAAAAATCACCAGTTAAACAAGCACTTCCCTCTCCTAGCCTATACCATCAGCAGCCTACACCTTCAGCAGACTTGCCTATGTGTAATACACATTTTGAAACATAGATATTGTTCCAAATGGTTCTTTTCTCATGTACATTTAAGAGAGGGATATATTTGAGACCAAATTCATTAATCATATTATTGATTGCATTCTCTGTAGAAGACAATATTTGACCAAAGAACATGAAACTGATAGATTTCCTTCCAATTTAGGGTGGCTGCTATATATAATAGCTACTTTCTTCTTCCCATAATGCCCTGTTCCCCATTTAAAGTCACCCCAAGATGGCTTCTCCCACCAAAGGACAACCTTCTTCTTCCAAACATGCCCTTATTCCCACCAAAAGAGTAACCTAATGATTGTTCTCCTCCTAACAGCTAGTGAAATCACAGGCTCTTCCAGTCCCTAGCCACTACCTCACTCGACCCCACCCCAGCTCTTACAAGCCCCACCTCAGCTCCTATAAAAAGTACTTTCAGTCCCAGCCATATTGCTTTTGTCTCTCCTTTGTTCAAAGACAGCCTGGCAGATTGTCTTTGCAATAACGGCTTGTTGTGGTCTGGTCTGGTCTTGGTTTTCGGCTTTTTTACTTGACAGAAACTTTGATGATTTTTGTCAGCCACTCTGGAGATAATCCACAATGATATCTCTAGTCTTTGTGTACTGAACTACAATTGTATTTGGTAGTTATGTTGAATCAGTTAACTTTTGCTGTATCATAAGCAAATTCAAAACAATTGTTACATATTCTCAGACATGTGTCTGAGGGAAACCTTGGAGTTGGTTGGTCTGGATTGAGCTAAACTGTGTTTAGTTCTAAGCTTCAAGTTGGATTAGGGCTGGTCTTCTATTGTCCTTAGTCGAGAAGTCAAGTTGTTCTTCTTTTGGAAAACTGCATATATTCAAGAGCACAAGGTCACTTTGCCAGCACATTCCAAGCCTCTGTGCAAACAACCCATCAGCCAAAGCAAATCATTTACCTGAGACCAACATTAAGTAATCCATAAATAATCTCCAACTAATAGGAAGGACCACAAAATCATACTTCAAGCAACAGAGGTACCATGCAGGATGAATAATAGGGGCCAGTAAGTCATATTTCATACATACTTTTGAGAAAATTATTAATTTCTCAAGTGTTTTATGCTAAAATTAGAATAAGTATCATTAGTTGCTTAGCATGTCTCATTCCTTAGAAATTATAGTTAAGAATGTTTCTGTAAGATTTCATAATTATCACATATGCTCTTGTTGTGGCTTGGATTCTAAATATCCTCCAAAAGTTCATGTGTTGAAGGCTTAGTACCTAGCTGCTTGCATTTTAGGAGGTGGCAAAAATTCTAGTAGATGAGGCCCAGTTGGAAGAAATTGGATCATTTGGGACACATCCTTAAAAAGTATTTTGGAGCCCTGGCTCCTTCCTGTGTCTCTCTGCTTCACAGCCACTATGAAGTGAGCAGGTTTCTTCCACCACACACTTTGGCCATGGTCCAAAAACAATAGGCCAAGTGTTTCGTTTGTTTGTTTGTTTGTTTAAATTTATAAATGAAACCTGTGAAATTTGAGCCAAAGTAAACATTTCCTTTTTCTGGAGGTGATTTTTCTCACTTTGTCACACCAATGGAAACCTAAGTCACATGCATCTAATCACTACAAATATTCTCACAAAAATATGGACACTACTTATATAACAATGAATTTTAACCTAAAATTAATTACCTATGTCTATATACTAGGACTCTAAGTCATTCTATTTAAAGCAAGATTGACAAAAATTAAGCTGCATTAACCTATTTAGAGGTTATTCTAAACCTTTAACATTGTGGCTTGTGCAGTGCCTGACACAATAGACTCCTAAGAAAGATTTATTTACTGAAGAACTGAAAATCAGAATTACTGAAAGTCTCCTCAGAGGTTGGTGTTCTGTTTACAAGCTTTGCTGATTAGTTTTCAGTTGATCTTTATCCAGCTGATAGGTGTCCTCTGACTCAGAGGTTCAAGCCTTTGTATCTTATGTAGCCATAATATATGCAATTTTATATATATATTTTTATATATGGCTCATGTATATATGTGTGTATATGTGTATATATGTATATATATTATATATATGGTATACATATATATAATATATATAGTGCATGTCTTTGATGCTATTATCACCTGTGAAATGAAAATTTGCCATGTACTTGGTCAAGTTGGGATTTGTGTTTGTGTTGTTTTAAAGCCTTTTTGGCCAGCATTTACATACCTTTGCCTCTGGTTTGTGTGTGTGTGTGTGTTTGTGTGTGTGTGTGTGTGTGCGCGCGCGCACGTTTCTTCTCCTGAGTCCAGATGCCTTTCTTTACCCTTTTTTTCCCATTACCATCTTACTTAAAAAGATGAAAAACTATAAATTTGACAACCTTTCATCAAACACCCAGCCGTGACCCTATCTTCAGAACTCACTGTTTTCAATCTAAATAACTGGATCATTTACTCAATTTACCAACCTTTCTTTTCTGCATTCCCCTTTCTACATATTTAACTTTCTACCTATTTGATTTCTAATATATTTCCATTACATGTTTCCTTATATTGCTTGTAGAAAATAATTTGTTCTATGTGAAACTTGACACATTTCCTTTTTAAAAAATAGGTATATAGGGCCGGGGGATTTAGCTCAGTGGTTCCAGCACCTGCCTCACAAGTGCAAGGTCCCAAGTTTGATCCCGGTACCACACACAAAAAAAGTATATAATAGTGCCTTCCCAGCCTTTTGAGTAAAATCAGAACAAGGTGGGCCACCTTAACATGGTATGAGGGGCTCTCAGAGGGAGGCAAGTCCCCAACTGGCTGAAGATACTCCCAGTCATTGCAACTGTCATCAGTGCATTTGTAGAGTTAAAATGCAAACAGCCTCAGCCAGTTCTTTAGTTATCCTTAGCTTTATTAATCATAATTAATGAAAATATATTTTATTAAATGATTATTCCTCCAAGATACTACAGTGAACACTTTACATACCTCATCTCCACTGTTTCTCTCACAAGCACACATGAGCTGGAAATTAGACCTAAAATCAGATCTATATTGTAATATTATATTCAGCCAGCTAGTTATGTAAAATAGTTATGCAAATGTAACCCAGGCTAAGATCAGAGGATAAGCTATTGGTTTACCTTTGTAAACTACCCTTTGATTATCTCTGTGAGTTGCCTACACTTTGTTTTGCTTAAATTCTTTTATTGGTACATTTTAGGTATACAATACGGTTACATTTATCATTGGGTGCTTGTACCTGTACATGATGTATCTTGGTTCTTATTCTTTCCCCATTACCTGTGCACCCTTCACCCCCTCCACCCTTCCCTATTTACATAGACTTTGTTGCCATTTTTTTCTTTTCTCATAATTTTTCCTTTCCCTTCTTTCCTTTCCCCTTCTCCTCCCATTTCCCCTAACCCTTTGGACCTTTTCTTCCTATTTCAAATTATTAATTATTCATTTTAATTCTTATTAACACTTTCAGTTTTTCACACTAGAGAAACTATTCAGTATTTACACATGTGTGTCCTATTTATTTCACTTAAGAGTATGGCCTCAATATGCATCCATTTAGCTATAAATGTCTAGTTTCTCATTTGTGGCTGAGTAGTACTGTTTTGTTACTTTTTTTTTTTTGAAACAGACAGAATGCAAACATTTTACTTCCCAAAAAATTTAAGTATTGATTCTTCCCTGCCCTTCAAAAATGAGATACTAGCTTATTAGTTGCTAACAACTTAAATTCCAAGGATTCTGAAAATAATGGACCATCCACTCTGCAAGAACAAAGGGAATTAGGCTTTCCAGATAGGTGAAGTCCCTCTAAGGCAGAGGGAGGGATTCTGCCAGTATGAAAGTAAGTCAGAAGAAACCAATGGAAAGAGAAGGTGAATGAGAAGTGTCATAGGAATAGGAGCCTCATCCCAAAAATGTCACCTTAACCAAGGACAATGCTAAAGGGATGGGGGGGGTAATAAGTGATAAAGAGCAATAACTCTTAAGTTAGCCTGCTTTGGATTGAATCCCAATTCCACTACTTGCTGATTTTCTGGCTTTTGACACACCGTTTAACCTTTGTTGTCCTTAACCACGTCCTTAGTTTTCTTTTATAAAACGACAATAGTATTATCTTCTTCCAGATAAGTTCCTGAGGGTTACATGGTTTGATACCTGTCAAGCCATTAGAACAGTGTTTGGCCCAGAGATGTGCCTACTAGCTGCCAGGTCTAATCGTGTCCACAATCTTTGAGAGCTCTGGACTTGGCTAGGGCTACGTTGTCATACACCCAAAGCAGAAGTCTTCCCTAATGACCTGCCCTTTGTGCTTCCCCAGAGATTTTCCTCTTGGGTTGCAGGAGGAACTTACTCCCCAAGGATCCAACAGTGCCTCTATGACCTCCCCGCCAGATCCACTTCTGATTGTTCTACCTGAACTCCGCTCTTCCACTTCCAAAAACCCCAAGGGGACCACTGTGATCCCCCAAACAGGAAGTCTATTAACCTAAAAACCCAGATAATGAAAAACAGAAACCACAGAGCCTCCTTCTTCTGGCCCCTAATTCTATCTTATTTAACTCCCTGACCTGTAAAATGAAACCAGTCACTATGAGCATTAAATAAGATAACAACAAATAAAAACCAGCTAGCACAGTGCATGACGAGTAGTAGGTATTGTTCAAACACTCATTTCCTTCCCTTTTTCCCTACGCTATAGATAGCCTTACTAAGCACTATTAAGGGACTAATGACTTAAGGTAAAAGGTCAAGTCGTAAGTGGGGAATTGGTTCTGTCACTAAAGCCACAACTGCCTTTCCCAAATCCAGTGATTTATTCCTGCCTCACATGTCTATTTTTCACAATGTAGATAGATAGACTTCCATGTAGAAACAAAAGGAGGATAATAACAGTAATGATCACTAATAGTATCTAGCTGAAGATATATAAGAAAATTGACTTCTGTTTCTTTAATAGAAAAGTCTGTGGTTTTCTCTTTCCATCCTGAGAAAACCGAACCATTATTTATTCCAAAGTATCAGGAGATCTATTCTGCCATAGTCATTAGATTTAAGTTCACACAACAGAACAGGTTCCAGAGGCACTTTCTCATCATTAAATGAGCACCTATGTGGTGTTGCCAGAGGTGGAGGAGATGAAGGCATTTTGAGGAAAGAAAAGGCACTAAAGGAAAAATTAGTCAGATGAAGCATATTAGTAGATAGAGACACACAGCCTGTTTCCTATCCCCTGTGTGACAATACTGCATAGACAATGAGAGGAGCTTCTGGAGAGTGTCCACGATTTAAAGGCCAACATACAAGAAACAAAGGCTTACTTGAAGTCCTGTTTATGATGCTACATCTAACTCTCAGCAAGACAGCTAATTCCTCACCCCAATCAGTCTATTGCTAGAAAAGCTGAGGAGGAAAAAAAACCCATCCCTGCTGCACACTTGCCTGTCTTTCCCCAGATTCTAAATCTTGACACTGAAAATAATTTGCAAGCTCAGGCATCTCTGGGATTCAGTGAATTTTCCCTACCACCTCCCTTTGTTCTTTCAGTCCTACAGTGGTGCTCCAAGCAGACAGGAAACATGGCCCAGAAGCATGGAGGCGCATCTGTGTCTTGTTTCAGGAAGAATCATGCTGCTTGGTCTCCTCCAGTAGAACACGCACATTCCATCTCTGAAGAAAGAAAATTTCAACAGTCCTGGCTCATTCTATCCTTTGTTCTCTTTGTGCCCTACAAGGCACAGTGGTCATAAAGGCTCAGAGGTGCATCCTGTGCTCTCCGTACATCCGTTCCAGGTGGGCACATGCTGTGGATATTTTCTTCTTATGGCTCTAGGGGCAGGATGCTTTGTTGCCGGATAGTGATATCAACCCTGATCTAGACTGCACTTCAGGTCATATCCTGGCCAACAGAGTGAACATAATATAATCACCTGAACTTCAAGTGAGTTCTAATTTTTCCCTTCAAATATAAAATACCATTATAAATACTCTTAAAGAAATAAATAGAATATATGTGGATATTCCAAACAAATATCTCTAGTTAGGTGGTCTTTACCTAAATAAACTCAGAAAATGTATGTATGTTAAGTAGCACTCAATTGCTTTGAGCTATCAATATCTCATTTCACCTCTTGTTAAAATGTGACTTACAGGTAAGGAAATCAGATATGAGTTAGGTCAAAGGTCTTAGGTTCAAACTCACATTAAGAAGCCATAACATTCTCAGAGCTGCCTCTGGCCAATATGGAAAATAGGGATGACTTAGGAAGAGACAGCCACCTTCCCAACACAACCTGAACAGCCCCTGCGGCCCAGAGTTTGTTGAGCTGACAGGAGTCTGAATTTCAGATCTCATTTGTGACCTCACCCAGGTATGTCTCTACACTTCACAAACAGCACAAGTCATAGAAAGCAGCGCCCATCTTGTGCCCAGGGCACGTCTAGAGCCAAGTGAGAACAGGAGAGGAGGGGAGAGATGCTGCTTCATAATACAGACTGTCCCACAGGTAAATCTTTAAAAATATGGCCTCTTCTTCATCTTTGTGGTTATTCAAGTACAAGTAAAAGTTCTTCCTATATTCCTGCCATGCAAAAAATAATCACACTGTCTATTACCAGCCTTGTCCCCTTGACTGGGGCAGATTTGAAATGGGGTGAATGCTGTCTTAGTTCCTTGTATCAGTAACAAGTCAGCCTTTACCTTACTGTTGAATAATGTTTTAGGAAACATGTCTCTGATACAAAAATCTTGAGCACATCACACACCCTGATGCAGTTTGCTCTGCAAGAATGGCTACAGTTTATAATCAATGTAAGAGATGAATGGTTATATGCTTTAGATGCATAGGATAAATTTTATCTTTTCAAAAGAAAATTCCAACATGTTAACCTTTATAAGCAAAACAAACAAGCTAACTAAAAAGTCATAATCAGGAAAGAAATTAGAACCCACTCAAATAATTTCTTCTGACTCATCTATCTGCTCCATTTCTCTTTCCCCCTCACCCTCTCATTGTCTGTAGTTGCCAGCAAGTAAACATGAATGCTGAAGCAAGAACAAAAGGAAAACAGAAACATATATTTATGTAAACTTGTATTGATTCAACTAGGAAGAAACCCCACAGCTTTCAAGGTCTGAGTCACAAATCATTATGATCAGAAATGCTGATGTGCTAGGAATACACGAGTACTCTCACTTGTTATCGAGGATCAGGCCCATTGTACAGCATAGTGAAGCTAAAAAACATTAAACATAGTTTTCAGCCTCCATTTATCAAGTGCTATTTTGGGAAAGGGAGGACACAATGGCGATGAGTCCAGGCTTGTATATTCAGCTTCACATTCAGTCACTGACAGATCCACATTTGGGAAAATCAGAGGGAGGTCACATCACCTTTCCAAACATGAGAAAACTCTGTTCTTCCCAAGATGACCCGAAATGTTCTAATTATTGGTTATTCCCTCTGGCTGGCCATGCAGCCAACAAGCACGTAGAGTTCAGTGAACCCACAAGCACACAGCTGTTATCTTTGACTTGTGGCCAAAACAAAAATTGGAACAGAATTTACCCAGACAAGTGTAAAGGCTTCTGTTTAAAGCAGCTATTTTCTAAGCCAGATAAACAGCTTTGAAATGGAGAAGAAATGAATCCTTTTCTAGAATGTCTGAATCAAAGTGAGGTCAACGTGTGGAAGACAAGATGTTAACATAGATTACCCACACAGCTGCACAAGTCTCCCGTAGAATGAGGCAGGCTCCATGCCTCCATTTGCCTGTATTTCTTTTGTCAACTTGCTTTTGTGCTTTGGAAGCAACTTTCTGTATTTGGGGAAGGTAACTATGCTAATTCAGTTGGTTCAGGATAGAAAGCATTAAGGGTCAGCAAACTTCTATGCTGGAAGCTTCCATGAGCCAGCAACTTCATGGGCCAGGGGTCATTTTGGACAGAAGCATGAAGGGCTCTTATCTGGGAGTTTGAAGGAAGAAAGAAACAAAGTAGTTTTACTTTGGGCTTAAGTCAGTGATTCTGGCCTTTGAATTTCCACTACAAAACATTAACAAATATCTCATTTTTTATAGGTGCCAAAGGGACTGGTAAGGAATAGTTGATAGACGAAGCAGGGAAAAATCACCCTCCCTGTTCCTTACACAAACACTGTGTGCTTGTGCTAATCTGGCAATCCATCTTACAATCACCAAACAGTACAGAGCAAGGAAGCAATTCACACCGAAATAGTGCTCCTCAGAGCTTTTCATAGCTTGATGCCTATTGCAGCTGCTTATATTGTACCAGCAGGTGGGTATAAAATAGCATATTCCAGAGTCTACAGAAGCTGTGTCCCAGGGTAGAAGAGGAGATGATTTTTTTTCCAGTAGAGTGAATATGCATATCAATGTACCTGAATGGAGAGCTGGGTCCTGGTGAGCTGTCATCAGCAGCAAATCTATCTGTACTTCCATTTCAAGTGGTCTATTTCGGCAATAACAAGGCTTATGCAGCAAGGGTTTGAAAAGCCTGCTTCTCTTGATTCCAGTGGGCTTACAGACCACATCAGCAGTGCAAACAGCCCTGGGCCTACTATCTACTGTCATTCACTCCCAAATTCTCCCTGTACACAACATTTGCAGCAACATTAAAAATCTCACCAGCTCTGAAGTCCCAGTTTTCTAGAATAGTAAGCGCCAGTATCTAGATATGGTAAGAACAAGAACAATTGTAACTAGATGGCTTTGTAGCCCATTCTAAAATATTCTATCATTAAGGCAGCCAGCTGCATAATTGGGGTCAACTTCACACCTATTGGGCAGGGGCAGTTATCAGAAACCCATTGAGCAAATGGATGGGATATTTCAAACCTATGAGCATCAAACATCTCCAAAAGTAACAAGAAGTGACAGCTGAAGTCATGCTTAACAGAATTGGTTTAAAATGTGAAATGGGTTTTAAAAGCGGCACTGCCCTCCTATTGGGTGTGAATGAGACGTAGTATACAGGAGGGGAAATCCCTATTAAAGCTGGAACTCCTGCTTTGTTCTCTTGTGTATGACAAGCAGCAGCTGCCTCTAGATAATTCTTGAAAGAACTAAGACATGTAGGGAGCCACTGGGTAGGTGGTCAAAGCTGGGTAAAACAACCCTCTCAGAGTTTCAGTAAACTTTATAAGAAGCATCATTAGGAATATCTGGCAATTTGTTTAAATGAACCAAGCAAGAAAAATTGTGCCTACCACCTTCCGTCCCTCCCTAGACCATATGTTTCCTGGTAGTAGTTGCCTGATTATTTTACCCTTCCTCCACCCAAATCATTTGGCTTTCTTCAACTCTCTGACACTGGGATCCACAAACTTATTCTGTAAAAGATCAGATAGTAAATAGGTCAAAAGTTTGCAGAGCATACAATCTATATCACAACTACTTAACCCTACCATTTTAGCATGAAGGCAGCCACAGTCTATATACAAGTAAATGAATATGGATGGATTTTGATAAATTTTATTTACGGAATTAGACTAGAGGTCAGATTTAACCCACAACCATCATTGGTGGATCCCTTCTCTAAAACACTGCATCTTGAGCAAAGGCAGTTCTAGGAGATTCTGTGAATCTTTATTTTCTTTCCCCACTTGCTCACCTATGGTAGATTGTTAGAATAATGACACCCTCATTTGTTTTTACTTCCCATCTCTGCACCCTTGGGTAATCCCCTCCCACACTGAATATTTTGGGCTTAATTGGATCCTCTTTAAATTTGTATGTTGAAACTCTGACCCCTAATACTTGAGAATACTTGAGAATGTTTGGAGATGAGATCTTTTAAATGGTGGTTAAGTTAAAATGAAGCTCTTAGGATGGACCCTAAACCAATATGACCATGTCCTTATAAGAAGAGCAAAAGACACCAGAGATATGCACACAGACAAAAGACCATGTGAAGAGGTAACAAGAAAGCAGCCATCCAAAAGCCAAGAAGAGAGCCCTCAGAAGAAACCAGATCTGCCAACACCTTGATCATAGACTCTCAGGCTCCAGAACTGTGAGAAAACAAATTTCTGTTGCTTAAGCCACTTAGTCTGTGGTATTTTGCTATAATAACCCTAGCAAACTAATGTATTGACTCTGGGACAAACACGTGACTTTCTTTGGCCGATGGGTATTGGGAATCATGACCTACGCAAAGACTTGAAAAATGTCTCTTGCTGCTCTTGAGACCCCTGTCAGCAACCTTGTGAACAAGTCTGCACTAATATGCTGGAAGATAAGAAATTCATGGCCAGTCATTCACCACCCCAGCTGACAAGTCAAACCCCAGAAGCAGTTGCCCAGCTGACTGGCAGCTGTCCAGAGAAGCATGAGCGAATCCAACTGAGATTAACAGAAGAACTATACGGCTGAGACCAGTCCAAACTGCTGACCCAGGCAGAATATGGTTATCGTTGTAAACATACTAGTTAGGAGAAGTTTGTTACATGCAATAGATAATTACTGTACTACCCAACTAATTTCCATGTCTTCTCCACTCAACACTCAGATCACGTTATTTATCTGCTACTTGGGACACTTCAAAGCTGAACTCCATTTTTCAACTTTTCCTGCTGCCTCTAACCATCCAGTAGTTCAGTCTACTACATTATCCACTCCCGACACCATTCTGTGCTAGGTGGGGGTATTTATTTTCTATTGCTGTGGTAACAAACTACTGCAAACTTAGCAACTTAAAACAGCACACATTTATTATCTCACTGTTCTATAGGTAAGACGCTTGGTATATGTCTCACTGAATTAAAATTTATATGTCAGGAAGGCTATGCTTATTCCCAGAGGCTCTAGGGGAGAATCTGTTTCAGATTTCTGGAAGAATTCAGTTCCTTGCTCCTGTGGGACTGAGATCTGCGTGCCATTGCTGGCTGTCAGCTAAGGGTTGCTCACAGCATCCAGAGGCCCCCCCTACATCTTTCCTCATGGTTCATTTCCTCCATCTTCAAAGCCAGCCAAAGTATATCAAGTCCCTCTCATGCTTCAAATTTCTTCGGAAGTTTTATGCATCACATTCTCTGACTCTAATCAGGAAACAATACTCTGCTTTTAAGCGTTTATGTGAAGATGAGCCCACCTTGATAACCCAGGCTTATCTCCCTATCTCAAGATCCATAACTTTTATCATATCTGCCAAGTCCCTTTTCCCACAGAATGTAGCATGGGATCCAGGGATTAGGATGTGGATAACTTGGGAAGGGAAGGAGTTCATTATTCTGCCTTTCACAGTAGCCAGCTATGGTAGTGAAATCAAAGACCATAACTTCTCACTGGTTCTGTTACAATGGGAATTTCTTAGAGACTAACGGCAAGCTCAATGGGGCCTGTTCCCATCCACAGTCAGCCACACAGCAGCCCACCAGTATAGAACTGCTCCTCTTGTTTATTTGAAGAGTAGCCTTTATTTACATCCCTGGACTGCTCCATCCCCTTGGCACTTCTCTATACATTCTTACAAATTAGGACATGATTC